ATTCATTCCCAGCGCGAGATTGAAGTCTTGTTTTCGACCCTGAAAAACCCACCTTTTCCGTTAGCTCAGAGCATTAAACTACATATAAGCGCCCTGGTTCGTATTCCCTGCCTTATTCCCTGCCATCGCTGTGAAAAATACGCAAGAGGATCTCTAACTCTCACCATTTGATCACGCAACGTGACAACATCTACGCGAGAGCGCCTGACATGTGCGTGAATCCGCGCGGATATATGACGTCAGGATGGCGCAATTTGTTCTAAAAATAGAAAAATTGTCCTATATCATAGGTGCGCGCGAATCCCGAGACTTACGGTCTCCGTCCCCGATTATGGCTCCTGGATAGAGTAATGCCTGTCGTTCATACCAGAGTTGTAAAAATCCCGTTTATCCTGTTTTCAGGTTAGCAGAATCACGATCTAATCCAATCTTGTTTGAGACACCAGTGAGGAGGCGAGATTTTTTCGATGACGTCAACCATCTCATGGCCACTGAAGCCACGGCTAAAGAGTTGATGATGGCAAAGTCCCATGAAGATCTTTCTTTAATGTGAATTGCCGAGAAAGCGTGAAATAATTAAGAATAATTGAATACGGGATCCATTTTTCTATGAGTGAATAGTCAAAGACGCGAAGGTGAATTGGCTATCGCCAGTAGAAAACGGTAGCACGTAGAATGAATTTTTAGAACAAAAATTCTCTAACATAAACAAACTAAAGAGATGTAGCTTCCTAAATCCTGAATACGTTGAGAACATGTCAACACCGTGCGCAAGGAAGACTGAGTTGATTATGACCGTCCTGCAGTCATTATCAAATTAAAATAATAGTCAATTTAATTCAGGAACTCGGAAGGTACCTCAAATCGAGCTGGGGCGTAGGGTACTAAATATATAGGGCAATCTTTGGTTACAATATTTTTCTCATTGGCTTAAGCGATGTAGTTTGTGCTCAAACTTAAGAAATATCATTTCTGAGTATGGAAAAGACGGAAAGGGCATGGCAAGATTAACTGTCTCAACTACCAAGCACTTTGAGCCTGGCACAGTGACTAACTTTTTTTTGGCAACGCGGGTAGAAACTTAAAAATTTACGAAGAATGTATGTGGCCCATTTGCCACTCAGAAATTGTTGAAGTTTTTGACACGCAATTTGTCCTTGAATATTACACCCAAAGAGTCTAAAATTTCGACTGTTACTAAGTTTTTGAAGCTCTTTGAATGTTTGCAGGAGTGAATTTGGCTCTAGCATAATGCCATCTTTTTGCAAAGGCGTGCGTTAATGAGGAAACATGTAAACGACTTCAGCAACGATCGCTCCATAAGCTGTAAGGGTATGTGCTGACGTGAAGGACATGGTTTCCAAACAATTTGTTCTCTGATAAACCTAGATATACAGAAATATAGAAATCAGAAGGTTTTGACCTACAAGAGGGTAAAGTTTTAGGCATCACATTGGCAGACCTCAATTCACAGGAAGCCTCCGTGTATGAGCCATGAATTCCAGTCGTTATAGAAATGTTAGATTGCGTACCGCAAAACCAAAACTAAAGTTATCACTCTGACCAATCAGGAAGGACGCGGTCAATCCTGTGAACCAATCAAAGCAAAGAAGCAAAAACGTGTTGCGAAACGCAACATTTTCGGCATGTTCATTTTAGCGAAACACCCTTCGGATTCCTTTGAAGCGAATTGCCACCAATCCCGGGTTGGACACAGTGGATGGGTAGATATTCATTTAAGACGTTTCTGTTTAAGCTTTCCTTCTTGAAAGTTATTTCTGTCATTTATGACGTAAATAAGACATACAAGAAAACAATATTTTACTCCTGGTATCAAGTTGATTGCCTGCCCTTCACCTCCAACCTCCGCAAAATGCATGTATACTACGCTGGGCAGTGCTACATTGTACAATTTCTTCTGAACAATGAGGAGAATGAAGACCGTTTATGGCAAGCGGCGAAAAATTGTCCCCGATTTTGTTTTGTTTTTCTCAATCCCCAAATCAACCTTAACACAAGAATAGAAAAAACTCCTATTTACAGCAAATACAAATATTCACAGTTTATAGTGCCAATGACTTTGGACGGACAGCAAAGGTATGCCATTTTCTGTTTGCCGTAAACGTGACTTTTAACCACTCCGTTTAATGTCAATTGAGTACGTTTGTATGTCCCCAGGCGTGGCTAGAGATGACACACGAACTATGAATGTTTGAACCTTTTTTTTTCGTTTGATATCGGTGTTGAGCCGTTTCCTTCCAAACTTGCCTATTTCTAATCTCCTGCCCAGTTTTTTTTATCGCTTAGGCAAAAATGAGAAGGTCTGGGTACAAAAATAAACCGCACTCATGTTGCGACATCATTTTCGTATGTTTTAATCGATTGGGTTGTAAACAATAACTGAAGTAAAGTGTACCCTGCAAAACATAAACAGTGTAAATGGACTCGTTAAGAGTGTTTGCGGCGAAGGTTAAAAGTAGCCCTCAGCTTATAAGGAAAACGTTTGCCAGTTCGGAGCACGACTCGTATTCGAAAGTGTCACAAGGAGACAAACTCAAAGGTAGGGTAAATATTGTGAGATGAAGAAAACATTCAGCTTTACTGCTAAAATGTGCCTTTTATTTTAGAATAATGAACATTTACCCACAAGGTGGTGTAAAATTGTTCTTGCAATAAAGTTGTAATGATATCTTTTGACAGAAGCTGAAAAAAACTTTTTCTTTTTAACATGGGGCTCGACCAGAATTTTATTATTTTAACACATCTTGGTGAAAGAAAAACAACAAATTGGAAAAGTCCAGTTTTCAAGTAACGCTTACCAGCGTCTTAAACAGCTAATATATCTTTGTTATTCGAGCTTGAGGCATCAGATTAAAGGGAGGAAATATTTCTTAAAACGCAAGCTGATAGCATAACGTGCATACGGAAATTTTAAGTATGCAAACACCGTGTATTCGGCACGTGAATTGAATAAATTTGACTAGTAAGTTCTTGTTTCAGGTTAAAAACCTGTCATTCTATTGAAAAAAAATCCCCTGTGCTTTAACTTAATGCATATGTTTTCTATACCTAATGATGTTAATATAATAAAGCAGCGGGTATGTGTTGTTTTGGTGGTTTTGGTATTAAGTTAAAACGTATTTCCCGTTTGCGCACTCTATTCAGCACAGTTATAAGCATACGAAATATTCATTTTGATGTGAATTTAACAACAAATATAGATAAGAGTGAGTGACAAGAATATCCAGCGATCTCAGTGCACGAAACATTTCGGTACGGCTGTAAAATAACCTCGGCGTTTCGACAGGATTGCCAGTTCTCCAATGTGTTTAAAGTAGTCGCAGTGATGTTTACCCATATTTATTTCGGTCAGATGCGATTTCATGTTGACACCTGCTAGGCCAGCTAAGGTTTAAAGAGCTCACTATTCTCCTGCGTTACTAGGTAACGCTGAAGAATCATGAGCAGCGAATGAAGCACGCGATCGACCGCTTACATTTCCTGTAAGTAAATCTATAATCCTTCCTACCACAAGACATAACAAGGACACCATGGCTCAAAAGACAGCTGTACCCTGATTTAAATTCCAAGCTCAATTATTTTGTAATATTATTAAATTTACTATCGTAAATGCCGCGACCTGATGGGAATGGCACAGCTTTCTGGATACATTTCTAGCAGATTAGGCCATTTTTGACAAATTTGCGGCCGCGAGCCGTTGAGTCGAGAGATTAGGGAGTTTAAGAAAACCACGACGGCAACGGCAGCGCGACCGTCGTTAAACAAAAGGTTTAATGAGCAGAACAATAGCTGTGCACGTGCGTTATAATTCTTGGTACATTTCTTTGCCGTCCTCTACAAAACAACAACGTGAAATGACCCTAATAATAGGGAGCTTAAGCACGCGCGTTTTTGAGACGCGGACGGCAACCGGAAGAGAAGATTTCGCATGCTAGGACGGTATTGTCTCCCAGTTTTTTTATACTACTCATCTCTAATGCAGAAAAGATACTTAGCAATGTAAATGTGGTTGTGTGAGGACAAGTTAAAAGTGAAAGTAGCTCACTTCCGGCTACCGTCCGCGTCTCAAAAACGCGCGTGCTTAAGTTCCCTAATGAGTTTTTAGCAACTCAATCGTGACAACATCGTTTTCCAAAAGCTTCTTTTTCAAAATGTTTTCCGTCCAAACGAAATCGAAAAGCCGGCGTTTTCGAATTCCTACCGTTAATTGTTTGAAGAGCGTTTTCGCCAGAAAGCTCCATTTCGTGACGAATTAGTGTGGGTAGAGGGCCTCACCGTAGAAATAAAGATGCGTTTTCAAATTTCTTCGGCGTAGTATGGACGCTGTCAAATAACCATAACATGGCGAATAATAATGATGATAAGTGCGAATAACAAAAAAGATTGCTACAAAAGTTCCACGATTTTACTCGTAACGCGTGTAAGGCGGAACAACAGCATTATATGTATTTATTATATGGGCACGAGTGTTTTACTTGAAAATACACCACTCGTAAAATCACACTCGAAACGACATCCGGGACTCGGGTAACGTATTTTACATATACTCATTAGTGAAGATATCGATTACTTCACTAATATCATGTTTGACCCTTTAACTGTGCTTAAATTTGTTGGTGCGTGATCGAAACATTTTCGGATCTTCCTCGAAAGTCTTCGGCAATCTTCGGCAATCTTCGGCAATCTTCGATAATCTTCGTAAATTTTCGGAAATTGTTCGGAAACATTCGTGTGGCCTCCGGATATTTTCGGAGAATTATCCGCGTCTTCCGAAAGTGGTCGGAAATCTTCGGAAAATCGCCAAAAACGTCGTTAACAGTATGTTTACAGAATGAACAAAATAATACATAGTTGCCTGTAGATATGGAATATCACTTCTCGTGTTCAACTTGATATCTCACGAGTGAGCGCAACGAACACTCGAAGATATACTTCATATCTACACGCGCCCATGTATTATCCTCTGCCTCTATATATTTCACCAAGGAAAACAATCCTCTCTAAAACTGTCTCGAATATACTGGTCAGGTAAATACCACGACGATTGGCTTCATGCTGAGGAATCCCTGAAAGAAGGAATTCACTTTTATGCCAAGGTTAGTCTGGGTTCAACCTGGCCTCTTTTTTGTTTTTGTTTGTGTGTTTGTTTATTCGTTTGCTTTGATTATGATTATGGTTCAGACAAGTTACATAGATCTGGTCTAAATTCTTTAAAATTCCAACATCACCGTCAGCAGTCAATCAGATAATGCCTTTATTGTCATTTTTGTCACTATAGCTCCGGCAATAAATTCCTGTCTCTGTTTTAAACTGGTATCTCATGGCGATCAACTAAAGCTTATATAATTAGGCCACACCCAGATTGTTATTTCACAGGCCGTATTATGAACATTTTCGGACATGCTTCCCCTCGTTGACGCGTGTTCAACTGCTCTTAGTTCATGATTACTTTCGGTGGAGTTAAGAAACGATAAATTGAGCCATCCACAGACTACTATCCTTATATATTTGGTTTATATCTTTTCAGAGCAAGGAGGGGCAAACAGGGTTAAAAATTAAAAGACACTTTGATAACACTGAAGATTATATCTTGATTATTTCGTTTAAGTTTTGCAATACTCCGTTTTTCCGCCGTAACCACGAGCAAAGAGCAAAGTTTACTTAAATTATTCACCGCAGTTATTAAACTTAGTAGCTTTAATCGCAGTTTTTTTTTTTAACAAATTATTTATTTCTCATTCAGATGCTTGGATCCTGCCCTGTGTATCAAGCTCAGGGGGTGGGCTGCACAGACGAAGCAGTACAGCAAATTGTATCCAACACTAAGAAGGTAGTGCTTGAGTATGATGCGATTAGTTGGGACGGCATTTTCTTACTGGAGCAAAGTAGTGTATAGCTAATCTTAGGGGAGCGCACCTTTTGCTAATGAGACCCGATGAACATTGATGGATAAAATACATATATGTTAAAGTGGCCAAAATAGTTTCCTTTTACAAGAGTTGAACTCGTGTGACCCAGTTCAGCTATAAGTCAGTGAGGTTTACTTTTAAGCAATTACTTTGAAATCTTTTCCCCAGACAATGAACACTACTCCGTCCAGTGGAAGCCTTCAGAAGGTGTTAATGACAGTGACAATCCGGAAGCTTACTATCGAAGATATGTTTTCAAAGGTATTTACCAGCCAGTTCTTAATATTATTCTAAATTCTTTGTAGTTTCTCTTTACAGTCTTGTTCCATGGTCGAACAAACATTAGACTGGTAGCAATCTGTTTTTCTCTCGAAATGAGGCAGGGATTATGAGGAAAGACGTTTCATATCTGAAAGGATTTGGTCGAGACATGACTGCGGCGCTCTTCTCAGCCCTTCTTCGTCAATACATACCGTCCTTTTGCGTTGGTGTTCACGGATTAATACTCGTCTGACCCTAAGAGAAACAACCGGCTGCCGGCAGTCTAAACAGGTTCTCTGCACCGAATCGACAACCGCGAGAATCGATAAGAAAATCATAAATTAGGGACCCCATCTTCATGCTACCCAAAATCTGAGAACCAACCCGTAGTAAGTTACCCGGCTCAGTTGTAAATTAAAATGGTCCTTGATGTTTATGTCACTCCATTTTTATCTTCTTCAGGAAAAGATCATAGAAATTCCAATTTATCGGTGAGTCTCAACTTTAAATACATTTAACTCTCCTGTAGTTTAAGTTAAACAACCCTGGAACTTGTCAAAGCGTTAGCTCAATGACATGGCCGAACATCAATGGGTACTATTCAAATGGTCGTATTTGAAGTGATGCTGCCATGGACTTCCTTCTGGGTTCTTAATTATTGATCGAGATAACGTGTCTGCAAGAGTCCTCGCTCTGCCACCAAGAATTACCGATCGTTATCCGATTGCATTGCTGCTAACTTTTACAATCAATTTTAAGAAGTTTATTAAGGTTTCTGGTCCAGATTCAATCGAATCTTAGTCTAGATCTGTCAACAAGGCCCCTGAAACAACTCAAGTTTTTAAAGGAAGACATACAAGCCATTACGATTGATTTACCGGCGTTAATAATGGGGTTGCTGCTGCTATTGTCACGCTCAGCCTGTTGCAACCAGACGGCACAGCTCCCAGGGCCATCTTCCGACATGCTATTGCTTACACCCCTGCACCGCCGCCATAGTTACAGCCAACGCCACTGCATACCTTTGCTATTTCGGATTAAACACAACATTGACATTAAAATAAACACAAACATTGTCATCGGTATAAGTTGGGACTGCTATTTCTTTTCCCATTGCTACCTTCAATAGTTTCCATCGACATTAGGGACGTTAACTGAGTAAAACATGACGGCAACCTGTGGAGGAGAACGCCATCAAATTAATTGTTCCATTAGCACAACAGTGGTCGTGCACGTGCCTATAAAATCTTTGTATATTTCTTAGCCTTCCTCTTCCAAACAACAACGTGGAACGACCAAGTTCTGCGTAGTCTCGAGAATACGAACGGCGACGGCTAATTTTTCGTGTCTCCATTTGGAATCGATCGCTAGCTTTACATCCTTAATTTGAGTGGGTTGCTAGACCGATTGGTGAACTGAACAGATCAAGATAATTTTGAAATTCAAAGGTAAAATATAAATCTATTTTTTTACTAGGCGTCAGCAGTTAGAGTCATTGATTAAGCTCTGTAATGTCTTTCACACAGTGACTGCCAATGTCCTTACCGTTTCCATTATCAGTGCCACCACCATCACCTTTGCACCGTTATTGCCGTTATCATTACCCGTTTCATCGACATATGATTGTAATTCTTTTACAGGGTATCATGTTGCGCGACGGATCCCAACTTCACTAAAGTGCTGGCGTTCATTTCTCGGGCTCACGAGGGACACGATTTAACCTGTTACGCGTTACTTTGCAGCAATTTTTCGATGGTAATACACCGTTTAAGTTTCTTGCAATAATTATATTACCATTTTTTATGGCTTTCCTCAAAAATAGTTCGTGCTGTGCGCTTCCAGAATGCCTCCATCCCTTTTTATTTTGAGAAATTTGTACCCATGTACCATATTCCAACCAATTATATTTAAGATATTATATTTGATTCTTAACCCGCCAATCATTTGCAAAACCAATATCTACCAGCATCATTTTATTTAAATATTTTTATAGGCATCAAATTTTTTTTATCGGTTCGGTGATCAATTCTTTTTCTCTCGAGAGCTATGCACTTCGTGATATGTATCAATGTTTTATGGGAAATGGTTTCCATCATTATATGAGATTTAGTAAAGGTCTGAAGATGGCACAAAAGGTGGCTGTTTACACAATTTTCTTTTTTTGTTTCATCTTAAGGCGCAAGCCATGGCATTGACTATTGCCGATGCCTTTAGAATGGCCTTTATTAATTACGAGAAAGGGAAATTCGACGAAAGTCATGGAGGTTCGCGACTTGCACAGTACCACGACAAAGAACTTAATAAACAGGGTGAGGCTGTGGTAAATAATGAGTTTGTCGACACTGAAACGAGCCCTAACACCACTACGACGGATCTTTTGAATGCACCAGTCATTCAGGTCACGGAAGGTAGTTCCTCACCAACCACAGAGGAGGACTTAACCAAGAAAATGCAGGCGTTGGTAAAATATACTTTATTAGCATGTGCCCACTACCCTAAATACTCTCTGTTCGAGACAAGTTTTTGTTGTTGATTCTATGAGTGTTAGTGAAAACGACCGTTTGATTAAACTAAGCCCTTTGCACGATCCGGTCATATGGTACAGAATTAGTTGTGCCGGGACGCAAGTTACACAGTGGGTCTTTCAAAACAAAGGGAAGTCGTGCTGGACTGGTGCGAGTTCCTTTGTTTTGGAAGTCCCACTGTGTAACTTGCGTCCCAGCATAATTAATTCCGTACCACGTGACCGGATCGTGCAAAGGGCTTATTAAAAAGGTATTTAACAACAGCGACTGAATATGGGATGTAGGAGCAAAACCTCGAGCATGACGTACCAGAAATACCCTTCAGTTTGTTGGTTTTTATTTTATCCCTCAGTTAGTACGCGCGCTGTGATTGGTCATAATCAATTTAGCGGGCCGTATTCCGCTGTACGGCCCGCTAAAATTTAAAACTATTTTTGTTGCCAAAATGTTTCGTGATTTATCGCCAAGTGTTCTTTACCCTTTTTGCAAGTAAACGTTTAGAATTTTCTTGCACTTCTGAAATTGTGTATTAATTATCTCTTATTTTGTTTCCATGGCAACGCTGAAAAAATTTACATTTCAACAAAAGAACTTTTAAGTATTTTTTTAATGCGTTGATCTCGCAGAATTTTCACCAAACGGAAGCAGGAGAAAATAAGTGATTCACAACTAATGATTTGGCGAGATGCAATTGCTACCAAGACAGTAGTTTCGATTAATACCTGTCAGCCATCTTGGATCCGCCATCTTCGCTGTTAAAACACTATTATTCTAAAGCAGAATGTGGCAAAATTGTTTGAAAATTGAAAGCATTTTCCCTGTTGATTCAAAACACTCATTATGCAATTAAAAAAACTTGGGAAAAGCTCCCTTATGTTGCAGAAGCCCAAAACTTTATAAGAAATGGAGAAAAATTGCCATAAAAAGAAAGCATAATTCACGAGAAGGAGTAATGGTTTCACAATTTCCTCAACACAATCTTCTTAATCTAGCTTAACGGATTATTTCTATTGATATTTAAAATGTCGTAATTTTCCTGATCCTCCTCGTCATCAGAGCATTGTTGATCAAGAATCTCCTCTTCCTCAGCGCTATTAGGGGGTTTAAGAAAACCACGACGGCAACGGCAACGAGAACGTCACCAAACAAAGCGTTTAATGAGCAAAACAATTAGAGACCTTAAGCAAACCACGACGGCAATGGCAACGAGAACGTTACCAAACAAAAGGTTTAATGACCAGAACAATGGCTGTGCAAGTGCGTTATAAATCTTTGTACATTTCTTTGCCATCCTCTTCAAAATAACAACGTGAAATGACTAGGTTCTGCGTATTTTGGAGAACGCGAACGGCAGCGGCTAATGTTTCGTATTTTAATTTGGAATTCAGCACTGACATCACACATTTAGCTTGAGTAAGTTCTGGGACGGATAGGTGCACGGAACAAATCTATACTGCTGCGAAATTCGAAGGTAACATATAAAACTATTTTTTACTGGAAGTCGTCTCTGGACGTCGTCTCTGGCGTCGCCGTCGTCATTACTTAAGGCCTTACTTACTTTAAGGCCTATTGTTGCAGTCACAAAGGCGGCACATATCGGTGCATTTAAGGCCATTTGTAAGGCAGGTCGGCACGTGGACAGCTTGCATGATCTTGCACAAAAACAGGAGAGAAACTCAAGANCAAAAGGTTTAATGACCAGAACAATGGCTGTGCAAGTGCGTTATAAATCTTTGTACATTTCTTTGCCGTCCTCTTCAAAATAACAACGTGAGATGACTAGGTTCTGCGTATTTTGGAGAACGCGAACGGCAGCGGCTAATGTTTTGTATTTTAATTTGGAATTCAACACTGGCATTACATATTTAGCTTGAGTAAGTTCTGGGACAGATAGGTGCGTCGAACAAATCTATACTGCTGCGAAATTCGAAGGTAAAATATAAAACTAATTTATACTGGACGTCGTCTCTGGCGTCGCCGTCGTCATTACTGAAGGCCCGTATTGTTGCAGTCACGAAGGGGGCACATATCAGTGCATTTAAGGCCATTTATAAGGCAGGTCGGCACGTGAACAGCTTGCATGATCTTACACAAAAACAGGAGAGAAACTCAAGAAGAACTGCAGGGGAGGGTTTGCCATTCACCCATTTGATGGATAAGTTGCAATACTCTTCGACCCATCCTTAACCAACTAGTGAAGGGACTTGAAGGCAGCTCTGTAAACTTCTCCGAATAGCTGCTTGCAATTGGTAGTTTGCTCTCAAGGAGTACATCCTTAAACAACAAAAACAATCTGCACAGGGAGGTAGCTGGCTCGAGTCAACTTTGCCCTGTTTCGCATAGAATATCCTACAACAAAGTCCAATGGCGTTACAGACTCCATAACCGTGCGATAATTAAAAAAAAGCCTTAGACATAATAACTACCGCTCTGTGTGCGCTGCATGAAGAAACACTCTGGTACCTGCTTCCTCGTGCGTCGACCTTAGCTATTCTCTTGCTGTTACTCCGATTGAGGAGAGTTCATAGCAGTAGTCCTCGGTCGTCACGAAGATTGTCTTTCCAGCAAACCTCTCTCTGTGCCTCTCATTTTGCCACTTTTCTGAAATAAATTTGCTCAGGAGCGATTTATTCTTGGAATTGGACAAGAATGTCAGCCATTGATGTATCTTGTAGTTTGCCTTGAAGTTTTTGACCTTATGACCGCTTTCTGAGCCTCTCTTCTCTCTCTTGTGGTTTTAGATCGAATTATTTCTGTAAACGTCGAAGACCACGTCAATACGCTGGCTGTCTGTTCATTCATGCAAAGCCATGGACATCATACTGTCAGCCAATTCAGCAAATGTTTTCTGGTCGCCTCTTATCTTCTGGACCATTACCATTCCGTCAAAAATTCGCCCGCACGGCTGAGGAATCATATCTACTTCTGTCATATTCTTCTGGCTGGCTCCTTGGCAAGTAATGATTTACTGGTTCTCTTCAGCAATCGCGGCATCAGCCGAGTCAAGGGCCCGAGGGCAAGGTCCGAGATGGTGGTTCAGTACATCATTCAGCTTTAACGTTCTGTTCTCAGCAGTAATCAGATGATCATTTGAGCAAACTGCGCACGATCCGCTTTAATGATTAATTCCTTGCTTGACCCTATTTGTCCTTTCATCTTGTTTAAACTTAGTTTGAAGTTCGTAATTTTGTCGCAGAATTTCACCTTACGTAGGTCAGACTCAAGCCTGTCATGGCAAAATGTCTTATAAACCGTGTCTCCGAAAGCCTCTGCCGGAAGCATGCAGATCATTCTCTATCTCAGGAGTTGCGAGGTTGCCGGTAGATAGACAACTAGCTCTTGCCTTTCTCCCTTAAGGGATTGATCCAGCTTCCTTCGAGCATCGACATCATCAATGTCTTCTTCCTGTCGTGCGATCACCAGCGTTATATGGAGGTACAAGCGAGATTACTAGAGGATCAATGTTTCCGTTTCCTTGTCCTAGCTTGCTCAGTTCCAGGGGGCGGAAGGAGGTTCCAGGACCAAAGTGCCTGGCTTAGACAGCAATAAAATTTACTCGATGAGATTTTCCTGCGCCATAAAGCGTCTCTTCTATTCTATCAATATTATCCCACGCAAGCGTTGCCTGAATATTTTTCGGCAAAGGAACATCATTATCAGGCGTCAAGGCCATTTTTTGTAGGCAAAGTGCTGTGTTTATTTCCTCAATTTGCGTATAGGCAARCCCATGCCCACATCGGCTTAGCATCTGTATAAGTTCAACATTGCCGTTTGCAAAGTTTTTACTGCGTATGGTAATAGAATTTGCTTGGAAGGTTTTCCTCCAGTTATCCCGTATATGATGTCTCGCCCAAAAGAGTTGCCAACAAGGCACCGGTAGCGATGAGGATATTCCGTTGGGATTTCTGAGTTGCTAGTTAGAAGTAGTATGTAGAAAGGCATCTAGTTCTGCTGGGAGATTGATTGCATTCTCACATAGTTCAGAAGATTTCGGTGGCAATGCCATTTCAGTATTATTTGAAAGAACTACATTACAGATGTACAGTCCAACTTGCTATTTTCCCTGACTTTACATGGAGTCACCCCTGTTGTCGAATTGCTGAGATGAAGTTACTATCTCTCTGGCCAGTTGAGCATTTGAAAAATTTGGAAAGAACAAAAACTTTATTATTGTTGGGGAGATCTTGAAATTGTAACAAGTCGCCGAAATCGTTTTCTAACTTTCTTCAAAAGTGTCTTTTTGGTTGATTCGGATATTTCAGTAGCGCCCATTGATCGCATGGAGATTACTGCTTCTCTCACAGATCAATCATCTAACTAAGCTTGGGATTTAATAAATCTGATCAAATAAACTCAAACACTTTGTCATAAGCTTGAAACTCTATATCAAAAAAATTGGTTCTCATCTGAGTCCGATTCACTGCTTTCCAAGTCAGTGTACTTGCTCGCTCTGGTCAGGTACAATCTCAAAAGCACCGACCATGATAACACGCTTCAGCTGCTTCCAAATCACGACAGGCAAGACCAATAAGGACCAATAAGCCTGCTATCACCCGCAAAAATAGCAACTTTTCTAAAGCATCTAAATACAAGTCAATCTACTGAGTCAAAGGGATCGCGTGTTCTTGTACATGCAGTCTTTTTTTCGCAAAAAGTGTATATTTTCGAGCAAGTTCTGCTCGTGCTTGGCTCTTGCCGACGAGATCTTTGCCCCTCGCTTTCCAAATTAGACTTCGAAATCTGTTTCGCGGCCGTTGTTTGAAAAATGCTCTCCAACTAATCCCGCTTCATGCTAAAAAGACTACGGCATTTCCTGTGATATATGACTTGGGGAATTTATCCTTCCTTGGTATTCTCTGTCAAATGAATAAAGCATGGCCCATGCCTCTTAATTGTAGCCGCGTTCACTAAATATTTCAGAGTCGATTCTTTTTTT